CAAGCCCAGCGCACAACCCATTGCTGGGACGGGGGTGGTTTCGCAACCAAATACACGTTTATATAGCGAGCCGCTTGCTCCAAGCAGACACCCGCTTGCAGCCGCACCTACTGGTGAACAGACGCTGCAGACTTCAGTGAGCCCTTAAACCGAATAAGTCGGAGTGGCCCCACCGAAGCTCCGTCTCTTTCTGCCGTGACCCAAGGCTCCACTCGGATTGGTTACCGCATCTCGCACATGGGTTGCTCACGTTGCCCAGAGTGCGCGAACGAGGACGCAAGAGTCGGGATTGAGTATAGCCATGCAACTGTAACTGCATACCCAGCGCAACGACTATACCCCATTGCACTCCAATTTTTTTTAGCTATTCACAATAATATTTGAATTAGGGGTCTTCATCAAAAGTAGATAAACAGCTGATAAACTTGACAAAATCATAAATTTATCATTTTGATAAATGAACTGTCAAACTTTGTATGGAAATCTATTTAACCAAAGTTTATGACTATCAAAATATTTTGGTGGGTAAACGTAAAAATTTCAGCAAAATTCAACCCTGACAGACTGCCAGGTGCTCGATATTGCTACGAACACAGAAGAAACAAATGAACACAATGTACGAGGTAAGAATGAAACGTAACTAGCCATATAAGTTAAATGATAAAAAAAATTTATGCAATTATTTACCAAGGTGTGTTCATGCAAGAATGTGGAGAAACTGATAAATTTATCAATTTATCCTTTTATCACCTTATATGAGTACCCCTATTAAAAAAATAGGCGGGAATAAAATTATCACTGGGTAGGGTTTCGATACAATCACATTCTTGCGATACCTACTCAGTACTAGGAATGCTCGATATTTAAGAAAGTATCGATATAATGAACCGATTTAATTCATTGCATGTCAAATCGATATGACGATATATCGGGCTGAATAATATCGATATTGAAAATTCTACTCCCAATTGAATAGAATATTAGACCTGCCTATCGACTCACCTGATTGTGTTATTTCGTGTATATTTATACGATGTTTCCACGCTTCGTAATTCGCTCTCTAAGTAATTCGCTAAGTAATTCGTTAATTACCCTGTTTCCACGCCACACATTAGTAATTCGTTTGGCAGCTGTAGTTCTTGTTCTTGTTCTTCGCTATTTAGGTTGTGTGCGAGTACTTCTAAATTGCTACCTAAATAGAGAAAAATCCTAATAAATAATTTTTATCATTGCTATGGCACAAAAAAGAAAATATTCAGAGAGATGTAAGTATAAATTTATTTGATTTTTGCATTCAGATAAGTATATGTGTAATTCGATGGATGTATATTATTTCGTAGGGTCAGAAGAGCAAACGGATTCTTTTATAGATGCCAGGATGGAACATTCTCCTTTTCTGTTGCAAATTTATTATATTGTTAAATAGTCCCAAACCTACCGTAACTTTTTATAGATATATTTATTAAAAGCAAAAATTCCAAAACAAACAACTCGCACAGTTTTAGCAGTTGTTTTCCTAAATTGTAGCAGTGCTGGAAACACCCAGTGGAATATTAGTTTAGGTAATAAAATTTAGGCAGTGGAGTATTAGTTTAGGTACTAAAATTTAGCCTTATTATTATTTTTGTGTACTGCAAATATGGAATATGGAGCTAAAATTTAAGTTATCATCAACAATTTTAACATATATAGAGAATATTTTATTAATATTATTTTATAACCAGAAAAAGTTCCAGGAATGGGACTAAGCCGGTGAAAACTTCGATATATTTCCGATAAATATTAGAGAAGGCACCGATTCGTTCGTCATTCGCATGGTAATTCGATCTGAATTACCTACAAATTAAAAAATTCAAAATTTTGTATGGCGAATTACTTAATTCGGAAGGTAGTTGGCAAGACGAATGACGAATGGGAGAGCGAATTACGAATCGTGGAAACATTTCATTACTGAGGATTAAAACGGCATGCCGGTCGACTGTATTGTCAAGGAAGATAGACCAAGACGATAAGTCTCAAGGTATCCACACACCTACGCGATTCTATCGGTGAGAATCTGTTGTCTGTGTTTGATGCTACAAAAACGGTGCGGATTCGTAGCGACAGAATCGCATAGGTGTGTGGATGCCTTAACGGTGGCAACGAGTTAAGAGCCATACACACTAGAGATGGGCACGGGACTAAATTTTCAGGCCCGGCCTGGAACGAGTGCAAAATCAACTTTCAAAAACACGCCCAAGCCCGCACGTTAAGAATTTTAGTGGGGCCCGGCCCGGCACGACGGGACACGCCCCAGCCCGGAAATAAAGAGCCAACTTTTATTATATGTATACATATGTACATATTTTTAATTTTGTGCTTATAACCATAGGTATATTTACTTAAGCGAGTCAATATTTTACATCAAAAATTTTTATAATATATTTTCTGGGAAGTAGAAAAGGTGGGGGGTATTTTATGTACAGATATGTATGTAAACCAAACTACTAAGTATTATATATTTTCTATCGGTTTCCAAATATTTCTTTTTTTGCTTTTCTCTTATCAAAATAGTTTTAAATATGTACTATTTTTTTTGTTTTATAAAAACAAAAGCTCATCTAAATTTTTAGTATTAGCAACGGGCTTTTTCGTGCCTTTTCGTGCTTTTATGAAATTTTATTGAACGCCCAGGCCCGCACGAGTTCGTGCTGACAGCAAATATTCCGGTCCGTACCCGCGGGATTACGCAGGGGCCAGTCGGGCTCCTGCCAAAAGCCCGGCCCGTGCCAATCACTAATATACACCATGCAAGCGGTTTGTCAAACTTAGGGTCGGTTACTCAATATCTAGTTAACACTAATCTGAGGTTAAACATCGTTATCGACGTCTTCGACTTCATGCATATAACAGGGATTCCGTAACGTCGATAACTATGTATAACCTCCGATTAGTGTTAACCAGACATTGAGTAACCGGCCCTTAAGAGCTACATAAATCACACAAGCTGCTGGTTAAACCTACTTTAGAATTTCCCCATACACTTTTTTGTAGATGAAAATTAAAATTTCAACTTAACATCAAATATCGATGTTGCGGGTAAAGTATATGTCTTCGATATATCGACCTGGAGATATCGATTCAAAAAACCATTTATCGCACCATGAAATATCGATAATCAGAATAATCAATATGATATCGAGCATTCCTACTTATAGGGCTTTCGCACGCGGCGATTTTTCAGGCAACTTTTAGTTGAAAGCAAAAATCGCCTCGTCCGAACGGCCTTTCAACTAATCGCTTTCAACAAAGTTGGTCGCCAGCCAACTTTGAGCTCGTTCAACTTTTTTTCCTTGTAACCCTGTGTTTGGTTACCTTCTGTATCAAAGTTGGAAAATGAAATTGTTCCTTCAGTACGAAATCTATACAAAAAATGTACTTTTGGCTATAAATTGTATACACTTTTTTAATTCGCTCATATATTTTCTTAGTACATTCCCTTCAAGACCAATGACTTTATGGTATTCATGAGAGAGTTTTATTGTTTATGTACATACGTTTACGTATGCTACACTTTTACAAATTGATTCCAAGTGCACATGTACTGCATTTAACGCAAGTATGTATGCACACATTTTCAGGTATACATCTTAACAAAAAGCATATTTAAGTTATTATTAATGGATAAAAGAGACATTTTCTTTGGATTCAGTACTAAAGTTTGACATTGTAATAGCATTTCAAGTGCTTATCAAAACTTTACGAGAAGATTTGACCATTTATCTTAATATTATTCAATTTTAATTATTTTTTGTAAAAATACGGTTTATATTTTAAGAAAAGCCGTACAAATCCAAGATTCAAACTTTGTGCAACATTAAAAAAAACCAACACACTTTCGTAAATATTTCGAGCTTTTTAATTCGATTTCCTAGATTTATTTTGAGTGTGCGGTTTGTTAGCCCATTAAATTTTAATATAACTAGGTATTCTAAGATTTCTTTGATGAAGGTGTTGCTAATTTTCTCCATATAAAAAAATCGTCGAACACACTTCGTATGGAAGAAAATGGCTGACATCGTCGACAAAAAAAATTGCCAAGTTCAACGGTAAGTCCCAGCTACTTTAAACTTGCACTTTATTATACTAAAATTGAATGAGCTCAAAACTAAAGAAGCTCGAAATTTTTACGAAAGTATGTTGGTTTTTGGATGTTTCGCAAAGATTTAATCTTGGGGTTATACAGTTTTTCTTAAAGAATACATTATATTTTATAAACAGATAATTAAAATCAAAGAATAATAAAATAAATAGTAAAACTTTGTCAATATGTGAGTGCCGTAAAGGTATTATATTTACGAAAATCTCTTCTTATAACTAACGAAGACTTTGTTTCTATATGAAGCTGACTTCGACACTTTGTTTTAATAAAACTTAGTATCGAAAAGTTTCGTTAAAAATTTGCCTAGGCTATATTATACTGGTTCGTTCAAGCCATTTTTCAAAACTTACAAAGGTAAATACGACAGGCGAACAAAAGAGAATACAAAAAATTTCTTGCTGTGAATTTTCAGAGCTATATATTTTTAGTATTCATTACAAAATTTTACTAAAAAGTACTGCGTAGTAGGAAAGTATATTGCAAATGAAATTGTATCAAACAAGTACAATTGTACCAAAAATGCCAACACTGTTCTGTATACATACTTTTTTACTCTTATTTTATCTTTCAGCTTCGCTAAAAGTACTTCTACCAACGCTTGGCTTACCAAATTTACGCCAATTGATAAAATTTTGCGATTTAAATTCATTTTCAATTATGTAAATAACGATTCGTGTTGAATCGAAAATCGCCTCGTCTGAATAGGGATTGCAATTTTTTCACTTTCAACTTCTCATTCAACTTCGCATTCAACTTTTGTTGCCTGTACAATCGCCTTCTGCGAATGCTTTATTAGTAGTACTCGGTTCAAAAGTATCGATACCAAAATTACTTTGTATCGAACGAAAAGTATCGAGTATGCAGTTGTATTTACTATAGCGTTGTTGTGCCCCTATATGTGTATCGTATTATTTCGCAAACAATTTAGCAATATAATTATATTTTTCTTGCCAAAATGGCTCAAAATGAATTCAACACTTTCCGAAGTTATGTTAATATATTAAGTGATCCATCAGCTAAAGAGGAAATTAAGTTCAAAGCAGCGCAAGAACTAAGTGAACATTTTGAGCTTATTATACAAAGCCCTTCATACCCAGCATTTTTAGAACTCGCATTAAAAGTGTTCATACGGATATTACAAGATGGGGAACCTCAGTTTATACAAGAAAACAGTTCTCAACATGTAAGTTTTAAATATGTTGACATATAAAATAAGTTATAGGTAATTCGACGCCGTTGGCAGTGGTCGATTTACAGCTGCTATTCAGGCATTATTTACTCCCAGTATTATAATAATAATAGATTGGCGTTTACACATGTAAGTGTTTGGCCGAGCTTCTCTTCCGATTTGTGTGTGCGCATAGATGTTGCCACACAAAGAGAAGGTACCTACAGTTTTACGCCGACTCCGAACGGCGATTGTATTTTTATGAGAAGCTGTTTTCATGGCAGAAATATAATCGGAGCCGAGGGGCGACCACTGTTAAGAAAAACTCCTATATTTGTTTCGATGTTACTTTGACCAGGGCTTGAACTTAAGCCCTGCGTAGTGGTAGCGCGCACTGCTAGCTACTACTTAACAGCACCAAAAACTGAAAATTTTGTTTAAGCTCTCATCCCTCGTCGACAACAGCTTCTTCGTATGGGATGATGAGAAATGTTTCGCCAATCACTTCACTACTTTGTGAGATTTCTTCCTGAGAGGCAAGAAAGTTTCCACACTGCACTCCTTTTGGTTTTTTATGGAGTGGCACAAATTAAAGTGCTTATGCTTTGCTACCATATATGTAATACTCCTATATTGGCAGTAAGAGCTAGTACCGTCCGAAAACACTACAGTAGAGATATATCAATAAACACGTACGAAAGAAAAGGAACACAAACGTTTATAAATAAACATGTACACAACACATATACAAAAACGGAACTCAAGTACACAATACATTGACAAAAACGGTACTAGACTGTCTCGCTTTGATTTCGGAATGCTTACACATTGAGAAGTTAGCTTACTGCTTAGTATTAGATATATGTTTGCTACCCATAGACGGGTTTTCGAAGGATATAATTCTGAAGGCTAGGCTTAGGAGAAGTTCTGTTTTAGCTGCTTTTATTCATAAAAGTAATACGTTATTCATATTTATCTGTAATGTAAATAAACGGTATTAATCTAAACGCGTAAACGCCTGTGTAAGCCTTGCCAATAAACCAGTTTTCTACACAAAATTAAGCAAGTTTACGAAGTTTACGTGCAACCGAGGCGATCTTTTATATTTCGCGTAAATTGTAGATAAGAAAACCCTTCTAGAAAGGCATGCAGACAATGCAGATAAGCACATTTTGCTACCCTTATGTAAGCCCTTAGAATCGCTTCACCAAAGGCTTTTCATCTTCGGCAAGCCTTTAGAAATACTTCAAGACTAAGAAGGCCTGCCTAAATTATCTTCTTGGATAGTATTTTTTTGCTTTGAATATGTCATCGAGTAGTGCTCTCGAAAGCCATAAAGCCTTTTTATCTTTCGCCACTGTGAAACTGTGAAATCATTTAAATTTTTAATCATGAAATATTTACAAGTAGGATTTCATTCTTTTTCTTTTTGTCTGGTAGTGTGGCTATGGTGGGGCTTGTATTTTTTTTCAATCTACAATTATTAAAAAAAAATTGATTTCACACAGCAAGGTGGTAAATACCTGAATGAAAATCTGAGAATGCTGAAGTAAACAGAATTCAATACTGAATTAGCTTCCAGATGGATGAACACTTTGCTATATGTGCATTCTCTAATTCAGTTCCAATCAAATTTTATACACTAAGAAAAATATGTAAGTTTTGATGATGGAATAATGAGGTGTATGAACTTCAAAACAATATAGACATACGTGTCGCGCATCAATGCACAGCGGCCACGCGGACTAAGCCATGTTCTACGAATGGATGCTTATTGCCTCCAATCATGAAACGCAGCTTGATTCACATGAACATATTGTACAAATTTATAGTTTTGGTTGTTTAAAAACTGAGTGCAAAATGTTCCAAGATATTTAGTTTTGAAATGTATCAGGTGGCAAAATAACAAATCAAACGCGGCCGTCGGT